GCAAGCATTATTAGTAACCTGGATAAGATAATATGCCTATCAACAGTCTCAGTTCTGTGCAAACATTATTAGTAACCTGGATAAGATAATATGCCTATCAACAGTCTCAGTTCTGTGCAAACATTATTAGTAACCTGGATAAGATAATATGCCTATCAACAGTCTCAGTTCTGTGTAAGCATTATTAATAACCTGGATAAGATAAAAACTAGATTAAGTTAGCTGCAACAAGAATCTATTTCAAAGGAACTGATGTATATACTGTTTTACCCCCTTTCCTGGACTAATATTTATCAAACATGTCCAGTCCAGGTAAGAATGTCTAAATAAAAATGGGGGGAAAGATATCACTTTTCGCCACAACCTTCAGTACTATCCTTAAAACCTATGTTACATTTTTGAATGCAAGTTCATTGAGCTTCAGACATTTGAAAGCAAAATTTTTACTAAATTATATTTTTTGCCAGTCTATTAGCTGAAAAATTTACACACTTCTAAAATCCTCTAATTCATGTGGAGCTAAAACCATAGAAGGTCTAGAGCCAATCGTTAAGAATTATCATTTCTTTATTTCCTTACTTTCACATCAAAACATTTGCTAAAACCATAGAAGGTCTAGAGCCAATCGTGAAGAATTATCATTTCCTTATTTCCTTACTTTCACATCAAAACATTTGCTAAAACCATAGAAGGTCTAGAGCCAATCGTTAAGAATTATCATTTCTTTATTTCCTTACTTTCACATCAAAACATTTGCTAAAACCATAGAAGGTCTAGAGCCAATCGTGAAGAATTATCATTTCTTTATTTCCTTACTTTCACATCAAAACATTTGCTAAAACCATAGAAGGTCTAGAGCCAATCGTGAAGAATTATCATTTCTTTATTTCCTTACTTTCACATCAAAACATTTGCTAAAACCATAGAAGGTCTAGAGCCAATTGTGAAGAATTATCATTTCTTTATTTCCTTACTTTCACATCAAAACATTTTGCCAAACAATGATGTTATAGTTTTTAAAGGTTTTTACGTACAAATAAAACTTTGATCAAAGTAAAAAAGTAGATGGTCCACAATCATATCATCATGTTTATCACTTCAGTAACATCTGGTGCTCGTCCAAAGAAGGCCAAAAGATGAAGAGAGAACATAAAAATCCATGTTCGCAGTTTTTCTAAACTAAAGTAAAATAAAATTATTGATTGATAATTCACTGAAAGAAGAGGTCAAAATTTAAGCTAATTAATGCTAACTCCAATAATTCTCTTGTACAAAAAAAAGATAGAACATCCACAAGCTTTAGCTTTCAATTAAGATATCTGGTTGTAGTTATTTCACTAACAAGCAACGTCATAACTGTGAACACTAATCAGGCAACATATTTAACAGGAAATGCAGTTTTCTTTAAAATTAAAATCCCAAATTATTCACTGTAAAATTGTTTTCTTTTTGAAATAATAATTCAAGTTAATAGCATATGTTCATACTGTTTTCAATATTTCTACAAACTTTGTTTCTTGACATTAAAAGATCTGACAACTTTTTTTTTTAAGAATAGTCTAACAAAGAAATGTCAAGGCATTTAAAAGAAATTTCCCTCACCAGAAAACAGCAAAAAACAAATTATACTCCACACATTCACATATTATTTCTAGAATTCATATAAAAATTATAGATTTCATCTAAAGTAAATAGTACTGATTCAAATCTAAAAAACTAAATTTGAAAAATATGTAGTTATTCAAAAGTAGATGCCTCATACACTTGAGTCTTCTTTGAATTGAATATTAGAACAGCAAATTAGAGTTGTATATCAAGGTGTGAGATCCATTTCACAGCATCAGGTGTTGTCGCACGGAGGTCAATGACACCTCTCAAAAATCCAATACACTTGAATAACAGCAGTAAATAATGACTATAGTACTATTTTAACATTTGTTAGATATCTATTTTCTTATGTGGAGTAGTTTACTAGTTTTTATACAAAACCTAATGATGTTTTATTTAATGTTTTAACATGTATAATCCCTGATATGTAGATAATGATCATCTACCGACACAAGACAACACGTATATGACTACAACATCCTCAGAAATAATTTATCAGTACATTAATCCTATATATTAATAAAACCAAACCAACCTTAATATCAAATCAAAATATAACTGATCCTGCCATCCTCGTATTTTTTCCAGGAAACCAGCTCCTTGTCGTGCAAAAGCACCACGTGTTGCTCGACGAGCCATGAGTGTGTAACGATCAATCGGATTACCGTGGCATTTGTTTATGGATCTCACAGTGTTAATGTTTCTGCAGAAAACACAAAAATGAGGAGCAAAAGTTAATAATAATAACAATAAACGATGGTGAGAAATACAATTAACAGCAGTGCGGTGTACTTATCACCCACATCCGAAGTACGTAGTCATTACGAGAAAGTAAATTTAAAGAAAAATAATAATAGCAAAACTTTTTAATATTTTAAGTTTCGTTAACACTTTGGTGCAAGTAATTCTCAAAGAAATATAAAAAGAAATTTAGTTTACTTCAAATGAACAAACTAAAAGTATTTATGAAAACCTTAAATATATACTCAATAACTGAACATGTTGCTTAGGAATGTTTCTATACACAAATGACTGAAAAAAATTATACTTACAACCATTTAAAATGCACAAAAGAAAAATTCGAGTACCAAAAAACTGAAGAAAAGAAAAACTAAAATTGAAAGATAACATACATTAGCTGTAAAGTGATGCAAGTCAGTTTTTTTTCATCAGCTTGAATTTATAAAAGTTTGCACACTTTTTGAATGTTTGTTTGTTTTTTTAATTTCGTGCAAAGCTACACGAGGACTATCTGCGCTAGCCATCCCTAATTTAGCAGTGAAAGACTAAAGAGAGGGCAACTCTTTTACCAACGAATAGTGGAATTGACCATCACATTATAACACTCCCACGGCTGAAAGGGCAAGCATGTTTGGTGTGACGGGGATTCTAACCTGCGACCCTCGGATTGCGAGTCAAGTGTCCTAACCACCCGGCCATGCCGGGCCGCTTTTTGAATGAAAAAGCCTTTTATAAGTAAATACATAAAGAAAGAATAGGAAAACATTTCACAGCAACATAAAACAAAAGAATCACAAACATATATACATGTATAAGTAATATAAATTCAGTTTATGGACTGTTTCTGCTCTGGAATACATTGAATTTAAAGGTCTGAATTTTTCCAGAAAATTTAGAACTTTAAATACATATAATGAAATGTTTTCTTTCTCCTTTAATGAGCACAACAAACATATTTGTCAGTAACATTTTAATTTTTTTCATCTTTCAGCCCTACCTGAATACCAAAAGCATGGGGAATGGCAGACTACGGATAGTTGCCATAATTTTATCAAAGTGCTCCTGGGCCATCTGTTTCATGTAGTTAATATCACTGACTGTTAACTTATTCGGGATTCTCAAGTTGTGTCGCTGGAGAGGTCTCTGCATCAAGATTTCACAAAACAGGTAGTAATCTATAGGAAAATTGTTTGGATAAATGGATTTATTTCAAAATTAAATTCACCAATATGGTATGTGTTTTAACGATGTTTTAAAATAACAGAACAAAAACTGCTTTCTTGCCAATATCTAGTTCTCTATTAACAATGCATTAATCAGGTTGCTGTACTAAAAAATTTATTAGTTTTTACATTGTCAAGTAATATTTTAGAAAAGATAATATTGTAGAAAAGATAGAACATGCACATAATACTATTTAAATGGAAAAAAAATGGCCTAAAGAAACCTTTCTCTTTCAGCTCAATCTAAGTGGACAGTTTCTTATTTTCACAAGAAAATGTTCACTTAAATTGAAAAAACATGAAAAAATAAAGTTTTTTTTTACTGCTACAAATTAAAAAAAAAAGATATTGGATAAGAGCTAAAATATAATCTTAACAGTACTATGGAAGAAATGGATCTTTAAGCCATCCAAGCAATGTGCTGTTGCTAGTGGCAGGGCAAATAGGATTTTAGGTTGTATCTACAGAAATATTAAATATAAAGTCTAAAGAGGTTGTAATGTCATTGTATAGGTCACTAGTCAGGCCACACTTGGAGTACTGTATTCAGTTTTGGGCTCCTTACCTTAGAAAGGACATTGAATTGTTAGAAAAGGTTCAGAGAAAATATATCAGGATGGAAAGGTCGTCATAAAAGGACAGGTTAAGATCTCAGAAACTTTTTCCTGAAAAATGACAAGTTAGAGAGGATTTGATTGAGGTATTTAAGATTTGTAAGGGAACTGACATTTTTAATTAATCGTCTTAAAGGTTGTCATAAAAGGACAGGTTAAGATCTCAGAAATTTTTTCCTGGAAAATGACAAGTTAGAGAGGATCTGATTGAGGTATTTAAGATTTGTAAGGGAATTGACATTTTTAATTAATCGTATTTTTTCATACTTAATGGTAAGAATGGTCGGCATGGTAGGAGTCATCTTCAGCTAAGACAGTTTTATTTTTCTAGTGAGGTGGTTGGTCTTTGAAATGGGTCACCTTCAGATGCTGTGAATGCAGTTAATTTAAGGGAAGGCTTAATAAATATTGGAATGATATGGACTGGCTTAGTTTTTTGTTTTTCTTCAATTTAGTTTAGTTTATAGATGGATCAAGAAGTCTCTTGAACTTTATGTTACATTAAGGTACCGATCACCTGATTTATTTATCCTGAACCTTTTGCAGATTTCCCCAAGAGTGAAAAAAGTAAAAGAATCTAATACAAATTTCTAGAATGATTTACACAGTATCTTTCTTGCATATAAATACGTAGAAAATAATTAAATAATTCTGTTTCCAGAATAGGTATAGAAATTAACTGTTTAATCATCAGAGCTTATGATTCAAATATTCTTGCTGAGGTGATGTCTGTAAAAGTTCTGTTATATAAATGAACTTTAATGGGGGTACAACCATAGTATATTATATTTTAAATTTTATCAACCACATAATAGTTACGTTACTGATTTAATAACTAAACTGATGCTTTTTTTTTATGTTATAAAATGACTAAATAAGTTTAAAGTAGAATGGCAACTTTTATTAATAGTACAACTTACTGGGAGTTTGATTCATAAATTGGTTTCAAAAATATGTGAATGACATACAATTTTAACCAGTACAGATATTTCAAATTTTAGCTTGTTATGTACTGGGCTTTCTGTCAAAAACACACAAATACAGTATAACAACATTGAATAGAATTGTTTAAACATTTGTTTAACAACAAGTAAAAGCTTGGAATAGTCTATTCTTTCATTGGAGGGGGGTGTCTGTGAGCCAGGCTAGTTTCAGAGAATTCCACTCCTCACCAGTGACCCTGGACACTACCACCAATGAAAGTTCAGACCAAACCTGGCTCACAGACACACCCCCAATGAAAGAATAGACCATTCCAAGCTTTTAATTGTTGTTAAAGAAATGTTTAAACAGCCTTATTCAACTATGTACCAGCTGCCTAGTGTCGGCTGACAATACGAAGAATTAAATTGTGGCAGAATGCTACAAGTTCTTCAAATACCTATGAAATGATAGGTTTCTTTTTTGTGAGTGTAAAACACTTAAATACACCATTTCGAGTATAACAGCATGTTATTTAGTAGGCTTTTTGGTAAAAATAAAACAATAAACACTAATACAGTGTAATCTAACAGCATGTTATATAGTGGACTTTCTGTCAAACACACGAATATAGTATAATATAAGAGCATGTTATATACTAGACTTTTAACTAGATTATTTAGAGGTAATCATCCATAAACGAGGTTTTTTACCCCCATTAACACATGAACCTCTCTATTTTTTCAAGATTACGAACTAGACAGTTCACCTACTCTCAGTTCTACTCTGTTTATTTCAGGTATTTAAGTCTTTATCACTCTGTTTATATAACATTTACTAAAGTATAAGATGCTAATCAATTATTTCACACATTAACATAGCAAAACTAATTTTATTATAAACCTACGGCCACTTAGAAACATCGGTCATTTATTCAATCTATCTCCTTTTGTCAAAAACTGTTTTTCAAACACTATCAATATTCCTCTCAAGAAATCTAGTAACTACAGAGTTTTAAAAAAGGGTTAATTTTTTTTCCAAAGAACATTGGACGTTTTCTCTTTATTCAATATAGAAAATAAAACACGTTGTAAAATGAGCTTGTCTTTGAGTTGGCCTTATTTTATAACAATTTTCTCCATTCAGTTTGTTTTTTAATAATGAAAACTTCTGATACATTGTAACATTTTTCTTTCTTCACTTTGACGGATTTTTTAAATAATGAAACTCCAGTTTACAGCTTCACTTTTGAATATGTATTCTCAATGTTACAAAATTGTTCAGTAGCCTATCATATGATATTGTACAGGTAAAAAACATATCTACAGTAACTTGTCATAGGACTGAAAGATAAAAAAGTGCTAATTTATTATTATTAATACAAACAGTTAAAGTGTTATTTAACAACTCACTTATTGTGAGTTCCACAAACAACATATCACACTGAAATTCACTTTTTTCAGGGAGTAAAACAGCTAGCTTAACTCAAATTAATTTAACTCACCTTCTTAATGAATTTGCTTTACATAAAAATAAACAATTTCAAAAAGTGTATCTTTCAAAAGATTAAACAACATCTGAGTGATAAAGCAATAACTTAATAACTAATAATATTCAGTCTAAAAAGTACCACATAGAATTTTTTAAATAATCATAATAAAATAGCACTATTCAGTCCAACAGTTTACAAATAGAATTTTTAAAATAGTCTTAGTAAAATATTCTTCTTTTCAAGACAAAAAAATCCTAAATTAAGACAGTTATCAGCCCAATTTTTAAAAGATTGTTTGTTTGTCTTTGTTGAATTTGGCACAAAGCTACCCTACGGCTATCAGTGCTAACACATCCTAATTTTTAAGTGATAGAGTAAAAGGAGGACAGCTAGTGAACATCACCCACTATCAACTCATGGGCTACTCTTGTCAGAACAAAAAGTGGAATTTGACTGTCACCCTTATAAAACACATAGGTATATATTTTTTCACAAATATGACAAAATACAAAAACCAATCTACAATACAGTCTCATAAGCAAATACAATAAAAATGTTGGTAACAATTATTATTACTTTTTTTTTTATAATTATTATTATTACACAGTTTTTTTTAAATTATTATTATTATTACACAGTTTTTATAACTATTATTATTACAGTTTTTTTATAACTATTATTATTACAGTTTTTTATAATTATTATTATTACACAGTTTTTATAATAATTATTATTATTACACAGTTTTTATAATAATTATTATTATTACACAGTTATTTTATAATTATTATTAATATTACACAGTTTTTTATAATTATTATTATTATCACACAGTTTTTTATAATTATTATTATTATCACACAGTTTTTTATAATTATTATTATTATCACACAGTTTTTTATAACTATTATTATTATTACACAGTTTTTTATAACTATTATTATTATTACACAGTTTTTATAACTATTATTATTATTACACAGTTTTTATAACTATTATTATTATTACACTAGTTTTTATAACTATTATTATTATTACACAGTTTTTATAACTATTATTATTATTATTAGTTATTT